CCCTCCCAGACGTAATCTTTGCCAATGCGTATGGGACACAGGTTTCTTCTCAATGACCGATGCGTGAATATGATTCCATCAAGACGCCAGTTTACGTATCAAAACAGGTATGTGGACACTGCCAGTGGACTAAGTTGGCTTTTCTTCAAATAACGATAGAAATAAAAAACAAATATTATTTTGGTTTTACATTCTCAGCCACCATTTGGAGAGGAGTCTTTAGGTCGTAGAAAGTTAATAATATAATAATAGCATATTCACGGGTAATTGTTGTTTTAAAGCTTACCAGTTCCATTCCTTGAGCCATTCCCGCAATATCGAAGAAAATTCATAGGAGGATCTCTGAATTTGTACACAAAAAATCCACGGCAGTTCTTAACCTTGATCTCATTTCTGTAGTAACAGCATTTCTCTCGCCAGTTGAAGCAGACTGAACGAGTAGAAATTCCATCACCTTCTCTGGGATGGCCACCGTACAACCAACCTGGTGCCTCGGCACCGCATCGCATCGTCTCAACGCAATGAGTTGGCATGGCTGTGCCCGCTGACCCGTTGAATCGATACCAAGTATCATATCTCACTCTGTCCCATGACATCAAGTCACATTTAGGTTGGTCATCGGTATAAAATCCTTCAGCTCGATCAGGGCTGTCCAATATTTTGTGGTTGCACTTATTACACGGATCAGAATCTGAAATGATAATAAAATGTCATTAAACTCGCCAAATATCAAGAGACAACTGCCTGTGGACTGGAATAAATATTTGGTTCCGAAGACATACGAAATGTGAACTCTTGCCCAAGAAATGCTACCTCTACATTTTTTAAATCGACAAAACTGATTTTCTTGCTGTCTGCCATTCCATTAGCTTCATCCAGAATACCAGAGCAGAGTTAATAGAGGGATCACGTGACTTGTACTTTCAACCTCAGAGGGCTCCTATTGTTCTTATCATTTGAAGTTCGCCGGCTTTCATAACCAGTTCCCTCTATTAACTCTGACCAGAGCGAGGTAACCTTTCATCCAAACTTCTTAAAAACAGATTTCTACTCGATGGACTATTACCAACTAGCCTAGGTGGAACTATAACAAGAGCTTTTCTCTTACTTTTTGGGTGGCGAACGTCAGGATGAGAAGTTCAAAAAATCATGATCAATATAAATATACTAAAGTAAAACAGTTGTGAGCCGTTACTTATGACGTAATCTTCACAACGGTTCTTTTATGTGATGTAAATAAGAAACATAATTATGGTTCTTGAAATAATGGCTCGATCGCTCAGTTGATAGTGGCGCCCAACTGGTATCTGGACGGCACAAGTTTGAATCGCGTCAAAGCCGGATTTATTTTTCATGCTATAGGATCGTAGAGCAATGCTTTAAAAACATTTGCGTTTAGATATTAAAGTTTCTCAGGTTAGAATTATTACTATTTGTGTTGGCCTAAACTTACCTTTAGCGTCACATGCCTCATAATGCGACCCTTGTCCTGAAAAGAAGCAACATTGGAAAGTACACAACAATTTAGAAATCTGACAATCCAAAGATGAATGAAATTTCATAACAGCGTAGTTTTAAACTTAGTCTCCATAACAATCTAGGATTTCTTCATTTTTGTTTAACTCAGATTTTACTGGTGGTCTCAAAAATAAAAAACTCACATTATTCTCTCGAATATAAGATGCGAGGCTTATATCAATATAAATTTGGTTTTGCGTGTTTTCCCGCGTTACTGATTGCGCTTTTTTTACAGTGAGTTCTCGTTGGTCTTTTTTCTAGAAAAAAGAAATAAGGGACTGAACAAAATTAATGAATTAGGCGGGAAAGAGCCTATTTTGCTTTTATTATTATCACTATTATTATTATTACTATTATTATTATTATTATTATCATTTTCACTATTTGTGTTGGCCTGAACAAACCTTTAGCATAACATGTTCCATAACGCGACCATTGTCCTGAAAATAGAAGAAAGTACACAGCTGAGTGAGTAGGAAGGCCAGACGGGAAAAACAGTTGGCTCGAGGTCAATAGGTACAGGCCCGTGCGTCATGGCAGATAATAGCATAAAAATAATTTCAAAGGATTAAAACTTTTCCTTTGCTTTTTGAAGTCAGGACCCGAAACTCACAATTTACCGAAAAACGCGACTTTTTTTCACTCTCTTCTTTTTACCTTCAAGTTCTTGCAACGAAGCCGCGATAGTGCAGGGCCGAACGGCCTTTTCTGGGCCGGCTCGGTCAACATGTTAGTTTTCACATGTTAGTTTTCACTATGGTTTTCTATGTGATTGCGTGCGAGGGCCAGTTGAACGGGTCATGTAATAAAAGAAAAGTAATAATCTTGCATCATGGAAGACGGTCTTCTGAACTGTATTTTCTGCGAGTTCTGCGAAAGGCATATCGCCTACAATGTCATGTACCATGTAGGGGGGCGGAGGCTGATTACAAAATTAGAGAAAAACCAAAAACCAAACAAAACGAAATAAAGAAACAACAACTAGACAAAAAGCAAACAAAAAATTACTTAGAAGAGAACTTGACGCAAAAAACACGCAAAGCTTGTATCCCGGAAAATTTAAGAACCAAGTCTTGATGTGCGGTGACGTAAATCGTGCTTTACATTTGCTAATGAGTAGAGCGAGACAAAAGAAGGGAAATACTGCTATTTATATCGATATGAATGAAATGCTTCCCCTTGATGATAGTATTAGCACAGTTGCTTAATTTTTTTTTTTCTTGAGAGCTATGACCAGGTCCTCAAAAGGAAAAATGAACTGCACTGGAAGATGACTTTTCGTGGATCTCAATGGGGCGATGGCTTTTACAGCTGGCGGTTAAAATTTTGACCTTTGCATTTGACCACTGCAAACGGCTAATTCCTTTCAATTGCGATTACTGAGTAAAAGAAAAACTTTTGCGGTTAACTTCTTTTACGACTAACGGTTACGATTTGTCAATTCTTACGCCTAACCGCTTCATTTTTGCCGTTTTACGGTTAACAGTTAATACGCTAAGAACCTCCTTATCAGCGAGTAAAATTGAGAACTGCAAAAGAACGCAGTAGTAATTTCATATGATGAATTTAGCTTAGCAGCTCCTTACTCAAATTGACTTCAAAAACGGCAAAACAGAACTTTTTTCCTCATTTCCATTCGTGAGGTTATTTTGTGAATTCAGTTCGGCGTGACAAGAGCTGGCGTCTAAGGACGCGTCGTTAAACTACCAAACGACACGGATAAGCTGCCATACTAAATACTTTGCCGAATTGAATGGTTTCGAATGTCTTGCTCCTAACATGAATAGAATTTCATTTTATCATTGCTCTAGTGACGTCGGAACCTTAATTGTTTTTCCCATGCTACTTTTCTGTCTAATAAAATATATATGGCCTTTCGCGAATGTTTCAATCGCTCGCTTTGTTGTCTGTTTTAGCCTCTAGATTAGAGTAGCTCAAAAGCAAAAGAAAATTTAATTAATACATCTACAAAGTTTATCATCGGCCATAATTCCATACTCTCGGAGACTGAAGGAGTTAGAGACTAAGCTTAACGAGTGGATTGCCTGCCATTAAAACAAACCGGAAAATGCACCTCAATTATTGGAATGTTCCGCATCACAAAGCCGGTGTTCTGTCGATTTCTATGTGGGTTCTAATTCTGTTTATACCAGTATCTTAGGAAAACTGGAACAGAGAAATCTTGTAACAAAAATTAAAGACAATCAATGACCAGAAATAGAATTCGTCTTTAGTAGAACCCATCTCGAAAAAGTAGATGAAAGTTGTTGACAGTGATAAATGTGATTTGAAAACTCTGCGGTTGAAACTCCGAGATACCTAACTAATTATAAGAGCTCAAAAAGATCGGACCGGTTTGAGCTCTGGGAAAAACCTTTTTGAAAGCTCTAATAAATTTATGTTGCTTATTAAAGGCTTCCTGTCATTATTGCGGACAAAACACAAAGCAGTATAGAATCAATTAATGCGCTCTGTCGACGGACTAATGCTCGAAACGTCACCTTTGAAACTCTTTACGATGGCCAATTTACGCTATAAACTCCTTTTATAAAAATTAAACGAAATTACCTTGTTACTCCCCCCGACGCAGCACCACAGTTTCTTCAGAAACTAACCCCATAATCGATGTTGGAATTAGTTTCTATCAACGCAAGCGAACCACACTAGTACAGAAACTATCGCCAATCAATGGCCATGAACACACGCTCTTTGGCGTACAATAACAGCTTCCATTATTGCTGTGTTTTTTCTTCTTGTTAATTGGAAATTAGATTAATGCAATTAATCAATCACGATTATAAAACATCGATATACTCGATATTGGAACTCCAGATTCAGACAGTTTTCAATTTAATTGCTTCTTCTACGGCCGTTTTTGCAACTTGTTTAAATCACTTCATCTTGGATGTGATTTAGTTTTAACAATATATTTGCATTTGAGGTGGGCGGAGGTTGGCAGACTAAAAAAAAAAAAAACAACAGAACCTCCTCAAGTTTGTCATAACACTTTGTTAGTATGGTCTTTGTGTCTGTATCAAGGAAGACATTCACTTTGTTTCATGTCAGAAACAATAAAAAAAAAAGCCGAACAAAAAGAATGCAAAGTAAAACAAACTAAAAAAAAAAAAAGAAATTATCAACGCACTTCCACTTTCATATGGGTTTAGAACGATTGAAATAGTAAAAGAATCAATAGTCGCCCGAAGGCATTGGCCGTCTAGGACAGCGGAAGCATTTAAGAGGTATTTCAAGTCTTGGCTAACAGGAAAAGTTAAAAATGAAAAGGACGAGACGACAATAATGATTTTTCTCTCGTTTCATCTTGTGCTTAAGTATCCCAGCAATATCATAGGGTTAAACACTCAGTGTTGTCGGGTGTTGTAAAAAGTCTTCTGTCACACACTTCATATCTGAGAACATGTGCATCAAGACTTGTCAGATTGACGCTATTCAAAGGCTTGATATTTGTTGATGGACGTTTTAATTTGAACTCTTAATCTTTTTTTTTCTCAATAAGTGATATCAAAGTCTGGTAATTTTCTAAAGTAAGGTAACATTCTAGCTCACTATGTGTACTTCTGACTGCGGAAGAATGGTTTTTTTTTTCTTTTTTAACTGACTCACATAAAATGTGTAGGCTGACTCAGGTAGTTCCCACAATTTTTTCCTTAGAGACATGAGTTACACCTTTTGCAATTTCACCCATGGTCTTTCGACGCATGAATGTCCTTAATCAATAAAAAATTCTAAACGATGTTCGTTACCTGTCGAGAAATATTCATGTTTTCGTATGATCCGAAAACACGTTCGGTTAGTTTTGGGTTTTGCCTGATTGTTGCTAACCCTCCGACATGAAAGTTTCCTCTTACGCTGGATGAAACACAATCCATTTTTTGGCTTAAAAATTTCTGATCAACGAGGAAAAAACGAGTTACCTTTGCTCTTCACTTCAATTCCACGGCATTCCAGAGCAAGTAAGCTGATAACGGCCGTGACAAAGACAAGTTCCATTTCTCTCATTTAGAGCTCTCTGCTATGTAAAGGAGCTGTGTCGTGCAATTATGGAAACTGAGCTAGTGTTTCCCATCTTTCATTCTAGGCCGAGTTTTTCCGCTTTAGTCATTTGTTTTTAGTTCAACCTTTGTTTAAGAGAACAAAGAGGACATTTTACAACTAACGACGGAGATAATTAGTTAGAATCGAAATGATTTTTTTCATCAATTTAAGTGTTTCCGAGGTTTTGAGGGCTTACGTAAGTGGAAGTCGTTCCAAAACAAGTTGGAAAAATTTGTTCGGATTCGTGCATTTTGCCGTTATCCGGTTTGTTTGAGATCATTGTAATTATCATTGAAGACGGCGTAATTGTCAATGAGGTATTTCAAAGTTCACGTTTGAAAAAAGCTCGTTAATATGATAACATATGCTACTGAGAGATGATGAAACGTACTTTTAACATGCATGAATGGCATACTTCAAATCGATCCGAAAAATCCATGATAGGAAAGGAACAACATACGGGTATCCGAACCCTGATTCGTACTAACCTTATCAACTGCTTTATGTGCATTTCCTGTGAAAAGTTTGTTGACTGTTTTCACTGCACGGGAATGCAATGAAATTCAAAAAGGCATAATGAAAAACTGATGGATGTCTTTGTTTCGGTGGATAATAATTTATCGGTCTATCACGCTGGCTTATCAAGCTCTTTGTTTTAGACAACTTACAATAAAACCGTTAAGCATCGACTGGAATATTTGTTTTCGTCGAGTTAAAACAGTTCTTTGTCGCCCAAATTTGAAAAATTTGGAGTAGGGAATTAACATTGTCAAACTGATCGAATTCGTTAGCCTTCAACCTCCCCTGTAAGGTGTAAAAATGACATTTTACGGCTGACATCATAAGCGATAGAGCGCTCGAAGTTGCCCTTACATTTTAAAAGTAAAAACAAGCCGTGCGCAATGTGACCACAAGGGATAGTTATGTTATGTAATTTTTTTCATCTCAAATTTCAAGTCCGCTAAACAAATATTTTTACACCAGTGAAGAAAAAAAAAATCAGTTATGATTCACTGTTGATGATTCTTGTTGTACTCACCCGCCGAAGCAGCACCACAGTTTTGTGAGAAACGTACCCCTTTTATTCATTTGAAAACAGTTCCTAGTTAGATTAGTTAGTTTTTTCGTGTTTTTTTTTTTTTTTTTTTTGCTGGGATTTTTTCAGAATTTCCCGGGTTCGCCATTTTTAAAAGTACGTCTTAGAGTTGTCTCGCGCTTGGTATGTTTTCGTAAATGCGGAAAAAGTGTCCTTCTGCATAAATTAATGGACATCAAATGCGTGTTTTCTCTTTGGACTATAAGTTAGAATTTCTCTACGACACTTGTCCGATTTACTTGGTGAGACACCAAGCAAGTGAGAAAATTTTGAAAGAGTTATATTATCGAGTAGATGTTAGGCCTATTTTTAGTGAGGATCCAACGCATTTTCCCGTTTAGATTCTACATCTGCAGACTACTGATTGCGCATTGGAAGGCCTCAAAAAATCTGATGGATATTTGTGCAGCATCTTAAGCCATGTTTATGGATCATTTACATATGCGTAATATAACGGTTTCATTGGAGAAAAAAAGTTTAGTGTATAGTTTTTATCTGTACTTTCTATTGTAGACAGCTTGTTCACAAACTATCACTTATCAGCCAAAACAGTTGTAATTAATCCTTTCAAGAACCTACCAAACAACTAATCAGCAAATAGAGGGATTACTAACATTACAAGGATTAATGCTCACCTGTACAGCTCATTTCCACGCTACTACAGCTGAAAATAAATGCACTGCAAACTAAGATGATGATTGCCAGTTCCATCTTTCTAACCTTATCCCCTCGACTATCAGCAAGTCCAATGCATGTTTACTAGCTCGGAACTGAAGCAATTAAGAGAACCCGGAAAATTTGCCTTCTTTCAAAGGAATTTTCCGCTTTGCTCAGAACGGGTTCTATTTCGTCCCGTTTCAATGGTGTTTGTATACAAAGATGTCTTCTTGAATAATACCTCAGCTTACTATGTCGACAATTCTAGTCGCCAATTACTTTTTATCACCATCACTGTAAATGTGTGAACAAGTCTTAAAATGTAAACAAGGGAGCTCATTTTCAAGGCGTTTTCCAAGGCAACGAACACGAAATAATACGAATTTGCAAAGCAACTACGGATGTAGTTTATTTTTCCAATGGTTTACATGAGACGAAAAAGGAAATTTTGCGGGTGATTGTGGATGAGATTAGGCAGATTTTTACCAGTACAAGGTTTTTGCTTTTACCAGTTTAAGAGGTTTATCAAAGGTCATTCTAATTGAATTACAAATCACAAAAGCAATCATTGCTGATCAAAATAATCATCTGGTAGCTAGTGACGACAAACCGCATTGATCTAAGCGTGTGCGAGTATGAAATATTTGGAAACTTTTAGTAGTCCAGACTGAGAGATAATACCGTTTTTGAGCCCTTCTATCAATAAATAAGTGAAACAAGTCAGTTTAATCATTGACAGTGCAGTGAATCTTGAAAACTTTCGAGTACAAATTCCTTTCAACGTTTGAATAACGTACACTTTGCGGTTTAGGTCTTTAAATACCTTAACAACAGAAGGAATACGTGTTTTCGTTTTTTTAAGAAATAACTACACTCGAAACTCTGAAATTTCCGAAAAATCAAGCTGTATTTCTATCTATTGAAGGGTCCTGTTGCAGAGTTCTTCAAAAATCACTTGCTGGGTAACATTAACTATTCTGGGAGACGAATTGAACGTTCTTTAAATGCTTGTATTTAGTCCTGAAGTTTTGCATGCTAATAAGCTGAATTAGCGATGTGACCGAGGAATGAATGTTTTAACCCAGAAACAGCCGTCATTCATTAATGCGGGTCAAAGTCAATTTGCAATTTGTGTAAAAGTGATCAACAAAACATCACATTTATATATATAATACAACTCTTGCTAAGCGACGTTCGTGTTACCTTATTAGAAATGAAACTTGGGTTTTCCCTGTTTAAATGAACATTGTAAGATAGAGCGGATGTACGAAAGGGATCGTTCAATGGCAAGAAAAGAACGTGGAAATATTGTTAGAATAGGAAATCAAGTATTGCAAACGGAAAACGTAATAAAGTTATCAATGCTAAAATTGCGAGACAGATACAGATGCATGCATGGCGTTTTCAAATATGCTAAACCATTTTGTTTTGCTTGGATTGAGTGGCCATTTAGAATAATTTGTCTCTGCGCGAGTTGAAAATATGATTTCTTAAAAGGTCGATTGATGAATGTGTTCAGACAAGAATTCCGAGCGTTTCGGAAACCTCTTCAGTATGCTAATACAGTTCACAGCTCAAGTTATGTTTCATGTAAGATCGCGCGTATAGTAACGCTCCGAGCAAGGACATGGAAAGAGACGTGAGGGTAAATTAAAGGGAAATGCAGCGGAAAGGCAATAGACTGGGTAGTTCGTAATAAATGCAACAGCATTTGGTTTTCACGTTTAAACGAATTTATTGCTATAAGTAAAAGTCCCAAACCTTTTCGCTGCCTTTTGCACTAATTTCGCCCACCTACATCCGAAACTCACTGACAATTTACTTTCAAATATTTGAATATACTAATCCATTATGTTTCTGAGTCTTTCTATCTCAGTTGCTTTTTGTTATTTTTTGGTGTGATTAAATCGGTTTGGTGTTTGGACTTTGGGAACACACGTGTCCAGCGAAAAGAAACAAAGCGATTTCCATTTTACAGTTCAGTAGGTGAACGTGTAGCTGTTACCCTCACCTGGAACAAAATCAAAATGCTTTTTTGCTGAGTTATTTCAGCCTTCAGTGGAAACAAAAATGACAATAACAGATAAAATATGAAATGACACTTTCTAAAAACGAGTTCAAAAGCACGCCTCGTTTTAAACGCGTTTACCGTACGGATGCACTTTGTTAGTTATCATTTAAATTTCATTTTATAAAAAGGTGCATTTTACCCTAGAAACTGCATAAGTATTTTTTCTGTTAGAAGGGAACGATCTAATCCAATAACTTATAGTATAATGGCTGTTTTAAGAAGGTTTTGGAAAATCCAGATTCATTTACATTTTCCTATGCTATCATCTACAATTGAAAAAATATATATAGATAAATTAGTTTTATCGAGTTTAAGGAAACAGACTAGATAAATTTTTTGGCGTAGGAGTTGTATATTCTCAATGTATGATGCAAAGACACACAAAAAAGTGATTTTCTACTTCTTCTTAATTCAATTCCTTGATATTATTTCTCATAATTGAGCTTGCCTTGTTAATGTCCTTTTGAATTATAAAGGCTGATAGTTTCGAAAGAAACTGTTTAGGGCTGCGTCGGTGGGAGTAACGAAATAATTTGGATATATCAACAAAGTTGAAATGGTAAATTGGCCACCGTAATGATTACAAAAGCTGACGTTTCGAGCGTTAGCCCTTCGTCGGAGCGAATAGAGGAATTGTGGGTTGTGTGTGCTTTTAAAGGCAGAAAATGGAGCTACGTTATTGGTGGGTGCATGGCAACGAGAAAAACATGAATAAATTAGTGGAATGAAAAGCGTTCATTGATCCCTGTGGGATTGAGACTGCCGGTTTGAAAGATGAGCTTTTGTTCAAGATTTTTACGGCTTTCCGTGCCACCTAAGTGCAAGGAAAGACCGCAGATTGCCATATGTTGCTTAGAATGATTAGGTAAATTAAAATGTCTAGCGACTGGTTTAGATGTGTCCTTGTCATTCCTTTCCACGTCTCGAAGGTGTTCTCGGAATCGGTCACCTAGTCTTCTGCCTGTTTCGCCGATGTATATCTTTTTGCAATAAGTGCAAGTTATGCAATAGATTACATTAGCGGAGGTGCACGTGAAGTGATCGGTGATCTTAATGGATCGTTTAGGTCCCGATATTTTATCAGTGTTGTGAATGAAAGGACACGTTTTGCATCGTGCACGAGCGCATTTAAAAGTGCCTGGTTGCTCATTAGTCTGAAAAGAACTTCTGACCAAAAAATTGCCTAAGTTTTTGTCGCGTTTGAATGAAATGAGCGGAGGCTGCGAAAAGATAGTGCNGATCCTAAATTTGAAAAAACTTAATGAGTCAGTTCAGTATGAACACTTCAAAATGGATACACTGTGGACGGTGATTCGAATGATGAAACCCAACTGTTATATGGCATCCATTGACATCAAGGATGCATATTATTCAGTCCCCATTGCCGAAACTGACCAGAAATATCTTAAATTTGAGTGGCAGAGAACACTATACAAGTTCACATGTTTCCCTACTGGGTTGGCATTATGTCCAAGGAAATTTACCAAACTGCTCAAGCCAGTTTATTGTTACCTAAGAAAGAAAGGGCACCTTTCTTCTGGCTAAAGGCTGATAGTTTCGAAAGAAACTGTTTAGGGCTGCGTCGGTGGGAGTAACGAAATAATTTGGATATATCAACAAAGTTGAAATGGTAAATTGGCCACCGTAATGATTACAAAAGCTGACGTTTCGAGCGTTAGCCCTTCGTCGGAGCGAATAGAGGAATTGTGGGTTGTGTGTGCTTTTAAAGGCAGAAAATGGAGCTACGTTATTGGTGGGTGCATGGCAACGAGAAAAACATGAATAAATTAGTGGAATGAAAAGCGTTCATTGATCCCTGTGGGATTTAGACTGCCGGTTTGAAAGATGAGCTTTTGTTCAAGATTTTTACGGCTTTCCGTGCCACCTAAGTGCAAGGAAAGACCGCAGATTGCCATATGTTGCTTAGAATGATTAGGTAAATTAAAATGTCTAGCGACTGGTTTCGATGTGTCCTTGTCATTCCTTTCCACGTCTCGAAGGTGTTCTCGGAATCGGTCACCTAGTCTTCTGCCTGTTTCGCCGATGTATATCTTTTTGCAATAAGTGCAAGTTATGCAATAGATTACATTAGCGGAGGTGCACGTGAAGTGATCGGTGATCTTAATGGATCGTTTAGGTCCCGATATTTTATCAGTGTTGTGAATGAAAGGACACGTTTTGCATCGTGCTTTTGAATTATATATTGCTTTAAGATTCGAGAATTGAAGATTCTAAAATCGAGGGTGATTTCTCTTCATACAGCGTATAACTCAGAGATTACAAAACTTATGGATTGCAAACTGATTTTGGCGAGGCCCTTGGCCAAGGGGTCTGGTACCTTTAGCTGGAACTGACTCATCTTTCACTCGATTTCTATAGAATATCTTAAATATAAGTTCTTGAGGAGATTTCGTGGAGTCGTTCTCAATCACAAAGACTCATTCTTGTTTGCTACAGGCTCTGGATTCTAAAAAAATTTTCTGCAATTTATTCCTTTTAAATCCTTATATTACCTAAAAAATAAAAATTCCTAATTTTTCTCTTTTGAAACCAGTACTATTTTCAGACACCAAGTGCTTACATATAAACTATTCATTTAAAAGATCTTTTACTAATGGCTAAGTGTTTTTCACGATAGCTGACCAGGTATTAGATTGGAGGAAAGAGTGGCTGAAATGATTTAAGAAAACTGGAATTTTAATTTATTCGGGTAAACTTCTACGTAATTTTCCATCGTCTAGTTTTGTGCAACGAACGAAGACTAACTGATGCTGGTTTGGATAAAACTGAATAACCTTCATTATCAGACTGGACGCCAAGTTGTATTATGCAAGGATCAATTTGCATTTGCAAATTATACCACTCTTAAAATTACGGTCTGATTTGACAATTCACATGGCCAGCTGATAAGGATTGCTTGCTACAAACGTGCTCACGTTTTCCTTTCTTTTTCTTTTCTCTGATTTTTTTTTTCTTATCAAAATAGAATTGCTTTTAAGCGAAATATCATGAAAAGTGGTCCCTTTCAACACGAAAACTTCCGTGCAGGCATCAATTAGTCCTCCTCAAAAGCTTACAAAATAATAGCGGGTCTGTGAGGGTTTACGCTCAATAGATGTTGGAAAAAAAGTTTGCACGATACCATTAAAATCTTTGTTTTCCTTAGCCATATTTTGATTATATTATCGACCTTTGAGACCATTTAATGCAGATGTGAATAATAGATACAATTTTGCGGTGTGATCGCTTAACGGAGGAAACATTAACAGCGATAGATAAGGTGCCGAGAGCTTGATAAGCAAGTTCCTATAGATCGATCGTAATCGAAAGGCTGGTTTTAATCCATTGGCGAGGGCTCTAAATCAGTTATTCTTCTCAAGACGTCTTCTGCGCTAGGAAGGTGAGAAATAAGTTCCAAGTTTTGACAGTGACCCTGTTATCATGAAATAGGTTTTGAAACCCGTATTTCTCCTTTTATCATGTTATCCTTCTTTTAAGCATCCTCCAAGTTCACTAGGCGCGGCTTGTTGGTTAAAAAAAAAAAGAAGCAAACACTTATGAAATTTAGATTCGGATCCTGGTGAAATCTAGTGTAATGAATGGAGTAAGATAATTCTCAACAAGCTAAGCAATATTCTATCATTATGCCTAAGTATCGGATAAGAGATTACCCATGATATTAAGTTAAAGAGCTTATTTAGGAAAACGCGAGGAGAAATTAACACGCCGACAAGGGGTATAATCCACAGAGGTTTTAAAATGAATTGACTTGACATACATACAGCTTCAATAGCTAAGCCTTTAAATGATTAGAAACTTCTGGTGCAATGCTTTGTTACCTTTCATGCAGTCGAAAACTCACATTACACATAATTACATTAATTTGAGGGAAAGGTCAAGCTTTGGGAGGATAAAACCAATACAAAGTCCACGTCTTCCCGAGGAAATTTCATGTAAGCTTTTTGCAATTTTAATTGAACGACCACTTTGTCCAAAAGTCTCGCAAACTCTTTAAATAACCTACTGGAGGAGATGATCTTTAAAATCGTTTCGGTTATTCATTGTGGTGAGTGCTCGTATAATAAAACAAAATTGTTTGCCTCGCTATAACATCGCCAGATCCGGCCAGGGTAGATCTGTTGACCTTCCTCTTTACCTGGCGTTTTCTTCTTCCATAGCTTTTCAATTCTTTTCCTATCTAAAAAGATGGTGTTTTTTTATCGATACGAACCGCTTTAGCGACAAATTTTCGGGAAAAGTCAGTTTTTTTCGCTAAAATGTGAACTCCAATCTGGAAAACCAGCTTTCGGAAAGCACTATGCACTCATTGTCAAAACAATGTCGAATCTCTTCAGATGCACCACTTTGAATTCTAAAAGATTGGGGGATGGCCTGAGAGTTTCGCCTTTTTGTAGACGTGGACCAATTGCTACAGAATTCATTATGAAACTGCTATTTCGGAAATCCTTCAACCGACGTGTTACCCTTTTAGCACTTCAGGACCAATGATAAATTAATAGTAATAATGGAGGAAGGAAGTCTTTTAGTGCATACAGTGATAGTCTTAGGCGTATTTACATACATAAAAGATCATAGAAATATCATTTTATCAACTATTCTATGCAAATTGCACTCAAGTCTCTTCGATCCGACGAATCCTAAATTTGTTCCGTGGGCGGTAAAATTTACAGTTTCTGTGGAATCCCAAATGAGGAAAGTGTATATCCTATAGTTTTTCCTTGCGCGGTAAAATTTACAGTTTCTGTGGAATCCCAAATGAGAAAAGTGCAAAGCCTATCTTTATGTGATGTATGTAATGTTATTAAGTGAAAACAGAGTGAAATAACCAAAGAAAAACACACTTCATGGATAGCAAAATTTACGAAAATTCACGACAACTTTCTTTTTGACCAAGCAAGTTGCAAAAAGAAAAAATAAGGAAAGTACTAGTCTTATTCCTTAGCCTGTCGTATGCTTAGCAATCTACTTACAAAGGAAACACTTATCATTTACACATAGCAAGTCATGCATTTAGGTCATTAGACTCATCTGCAATTTCCTCCTTTTTCTATTTTTTTCCAGAATGAGTCTGAAATGCCTCGCTGCTCTTATACCGTTCATATGTTTCACACATGTATCTTCCAAAAAAATTCCGCTAGTCATCGGCGGAGTGTTCGACATCGACACAAAGCCTGGAGATGAAAACTCTGCAAGTATGATCCCTATTGTGCGCATGGCCATAAAACATGTGAACTCCTGTCCCAAAACACTGGTGGACTATGAACTACAAATGGAAGTGAAAGATGTCAAGGTGGGAAACTCTATCAATCTTTTAAAGATTCTTGCGGCAGTTAAAACATTTAACAGATGGTAAACACCACAGCTAAGCGTACACTATTGAGTTATGGATGCACGCGGGAGGTTGCTAAGCACGAAAGAAGCATAAGAGTCGCTCGAGGCGATAGCCAAGCGCGACTCTAGCTTCTTTAGTGCTTAACAAACCTCTCAAGTGCATCCATAACTCAATAGTGTACGCTGTGGTGTTTACTATTTGTTTTACAACATAACATTGATACATTGTAGCTAAAGAGTTCCCTTTTATTTAACAAATCTTACGTGACCAGAAAAAACAAGCGCGCGCGGAAAAATAGTCTTTGCATTTGCTCACGTCAGCAGCGTACACCCATGGGCAAACGGGGGACGTTAAATTGACCAATCAGAGCGCGCACTTTACTTTGGTTTTGTTATAATTCTACTTGGGTAAATTGATACTTATTTCATCACCACCTCTTGTCCAGAGTTTGGACTAGAGTTGGCGAAGAAGTATTCGTGACAGCGGGTTACCATTGATGCCAACAGTAGAACTTGGCAAGTCGCAGCCTTGTTGCTGAGTGAGTTTACACAGTTATACATTCGAAATTGTTCAAATCGTTAATTTAACTTGATCATAGAAGAAACATATGTAAATCCATCGTAATTTAATAGCATCGAATTTCAAAAGTAAGTTACAGAGCAAAAATGAATGACCTCTTACCACATCCTCAGGCAATTTATAAATTAAGTACCATCATATTATATTGTATTTCTTATTGATCAAACATCTTATTGTGTCTGTATCTCAACCAGTGTCAAGACTCCGATGCAATCTACGCGTTCACTGAATTCATTCGAGAGGAAAAGAGGAAAATCATGATCTTGGGACCAGGTTGTTCCAAATCAGCAGAACCATTCGCTAAGGCTGCTCCTTTCTACAACTTGGTTCAAGTGAGTGCAGACCATATCAGATCTTTGGGCGCGGGGCTTGTTCATCACTATGAACAAGCCGTGCACCTGAATCTTGCCGTGTTTACTTTCTTCGCCATAACTTACGTCCCACGCTTCAAAAAGAACCGCTAACAAACGTGGTTTGAGCCGCCGTACCACGGTCAACTCTCAAGCCAATTATCACCAGAAACCCTTCGTTTTCTGGATGAAAACTGTCAATCAAGGAACAAAGCATGATGGAAATCTGTTCCATCATACATAAATGTTCGATCTACGGTGGAAAAAGTTTCATGAATTTGGACTTCAGTTTTCCCTTAAGCAAAAAATAATGTAATTTATATTTACAACTTCCAATTTTCTACCGAGTCAGATTCATTATTCTTGGGAGCTAAGTATCTAAAAAAATTGCATTACTTTGATATCTTAAGTGCGTACCTATAATGCTTTGTAAAACTGCTATCATGACTGGTTGAATTCTTTTTTCGTTAGCCGTTGGTTTATTCTGAGACAACATGCAACACTTGTAATGTACATGGCAATATTCCCGCAGCCAGAAATCACAGTCAACGTAACTAACACAAAAGACGGTCATTCAATTACTAAGTCATTCAGTGATAAATATACTGCTCATGAATATTTTTCATAATACTACAAGGTGGCCATGGCAGCCGTAAACCCAGCCCTATCGTGCGCGAAGATCTTCCCTACCTTTATGCGCACCATACCACCAGAGCATTTTCAAAACCAAGGAAGAGTGGCGATAGTGAAACATTTCAAGTGGAGGAGAGTGGCCATAATGCGAGAGAATATGGACACATACCAAGGACTTTCCAACGATTTGATAAAAAGGTTGAAAAAGGCCGGGATACAGTTAGCCAGTGACCAGGCTTTTACTGGTAACGCTGAATTACAGATAGAAGCTCTACAGGTTTGATAAGAATAATGTTAACAGTCTGTGTCAGTTAAGCACAGTATATTCTTATACATACCAAACTGAGAAGTATGTAGTTGCATGGAATTAACATTTGCATATCTTATACCTGAAATGTAATGTTTGCCTCGTAAACTCTGAGACAATGAAGAAACGTGAAAGGTGTCCTCTGTCTGCAATATCAGAGGTGGATGCCGAAGACCCTTTTTCTCAGCCCTCTCTTTTTTTCGTAGAAAAACGACTTGCGAATAATTTTTGGCATGTTCTCAGAGAAGGCCGCAAGAAAGGTTATTTGCACGGTAAGTAGAGTAGGTTTATTATGGAAGCAGAACTTGAAAATCAAGAAATAGTGAATTTAGAAAGGTAGTAGGAATTTCATTGTAGTCACAATCAAAATACGTTATAAAGCAAAAGTCCAAGTTGATGACCTTGTTATTCTTGTTTTAGAGTAACCTTTGCCCCATGCAAAATTTATCGAACGAGTTTTCCATGTTTTCTGTTCAATGTGCAGGACACTAGTCGCCATGGGCTGTATTTGACAAAAACAAATTTCGAAAACATTTGTAACTTTGCAGTCTGCAATATGTCTCAACATCCTCTCGAGTATTACAAGCAGTTATTAATTGGAAGTAATTTCAATTCTATTTAAAATTTTAGGCTTTTAAGAAGGGGTTTTATGGTTCTAAAGTCGTATGGATTCTGATGGCCGGTGGGTATAAAGAACAATGGTGGGGTTACAATGATGTTAATTGCACCAAAGAGGAACTTTGCAAGGCGCTTGGAAACTTCTTAAGTACCGAGGCGTTGATGATTGGAAAAGATAATCAGGATACGATTGCCGGAAAGGTACGAGATACCTTGTCTACTATGATAGTTCACAGGTTTGAACAGACAGGTTCATGTATTTAGATACAGATTATTCCGCTTTTAATCAATGTGGTCAGAGATTCTGTCCACTATCTTCAACAAAGGGAAGTCGGAAGTCGAGAAAGCTCTCTTAGCCACTGCCACCAGACTCGATCTTCTCGAGCATCAGCATTCTTTGATTTTCTCTGCTAGATTATAGAATCATGCTACGTAAGCATCGTAAAATATAGTGCATAAGCAAGTTACTGCTTGTTGATAGACGAGTTTATACAAGTCTTTTTAATGTGTCAGTTGTGACGGGTTCGATTGTTTCAAGGGTAGCCAGGGTTCCGATTTGAACTGTTCCAACAATTTGCGACAACAATGTGATCCCATTATTTTATCACCTCTAAGATGTTTGCGAACCTCTTTACATAATTTTTTATTGAAGAGCCTAACTGATCATGACCTGCCATGAAGCGTACTTATACCTAAAAAAAGGCCATTTATCTTTTTTTTTCTATGAAACTGTATCAGATAAATGTGATCAGCTGTTTATATTAAGAATCTGCTGGTCTGACTGAGTTACAGTTAAATTAACGTTTGTTTTTTGTATCTTTATCTGAAGAACATTGAAGAACTCAGAGTTGAGTACAAAACCGAGCTGGCTAAGACTCCTTACAAAGAGCCTAGCCGCCATGCCGCCTTTGCTTATGACGCGGTCTGGACCATAGCACTTACTTTGAACGAGTCAATCTCCGCACTTCAACAACAAAACGAAACTAGAAACATGTCATTGGAAGATTTCGACTACACAAATACTGCTATGAGGAAGACATTCATGAAGATTGCAAAAGGGTTATCGTTTCAGGGAATGTCTGTAAGTCAGCATTTTTCGTTTCTTTAAAGGTCACTAAGGCATAAAATTCATTACAAAATGATTGACTCTTATGATGAGAATGAAATAGTTTGTTGCCATTCTTTTCTCACTGAAGAGGCGTAATTGACATATTTCGTTTCATCTTGAAGGGCTTGGTACAATTTTACAAGAACTCTGACAGGCTCAGCTTGCTTAACATTGATCAGCGTCAACGTATGTACTACTTTAGTGTCTGATTATGAGGGTAGCGATAATGACAATGATGATCGCTAAAATAAAATGATTTTAAAATAATCGTACCGTGGTTCTTTACAGGTGGTGTGATGAAACGAATTGGAACTTACGACATGAAAAGGAAACTCATCGTCGTCGATAGGAGCCAAACGGCGCTGTGGGAAGGTACTACTGAGATGTCTCTAAAATTTGTTGGGAAGTTTTGACGGTCTAGATTTCACAGAACACAATTAATTCTCTGAATTTCAGGACAAGGTATATGACTTGGTTACTTTGTTTAGAAAACGAAAATAGTGATCAAAAACTTTTTTAAGCTCCTCAATTCAACGAATTACTATGTGTTTATGATTGCGTATACTAGAGATAATGTCTAAGGGAAACTGAATGAGAATTACGTTTTTCGCACATTTCTGTAAACCAGCTGAAAAGGTTCCAGCCTGCACGATTAAAAAAATCTTTGTTCCGCGGTACCTTCCAAAGAGCATGGTATTTGCCATGGATGGATTGTGCGCACTTGGCATCATCTTTGCTGCAGGGCTCTTCTTCTTCAACGTTAAGTACCGAGCTGTCAGGTAGGAACTCCTCAACACATTACTTACTTACTGGCGATATCATTTTTAGATTTATAGAAGATCGTGAAGTCTCCTAGTTGTATTTTGCCTTAACCATATATTTAGACAAACAGAAAATTAAAACACCGTTATCCATCATGCGCTATGAGCCATTATACCATGTTCTACAATTATAGTAAGTGTACGCCTCAGCTCAAAATTAAAACGGGGCTAAAAGTTTCTTTATTTATCCATACTTTGAGGCGTTTTTAATAAAAAAAATTATTCCTCTCACGCTTGTTGGATATGTGATGAATGAAGCCACCTCGGCCCGTAACTATCCAACTCCCGCTCGTGGAATAACTGTTTAATATCCCCTCTTTGTCATTTACTAAATACTTATCTTTGTTTCCAGGCATATTCGAATGTCTAGCCCGAATATGAATAACATCATCATTGTGGGATGTGTTTTGATTTACGTTTCTGGAATCCTTTTCGGCATTGACACTGAAATCGTCTCAAAGAAGACTCACGAGAGAGTGTGTCAGGTGAGGCGTTACATATTGAACTAGTGGGAAATTAACACCTCGGTCAAAATATGCAAACAGTCTAGTGCGCGGTAAAAGGCGAATGACCAAATCTCAGTTGGTGTTAGGTTTGCATCCGATTGGTTAATGATGTAGCACAAGATTTTTGGGACTACCTGGAGACCGCAGTAAGTGAAGCAAAAACAGTGCAGTGCAATCTGCCCGGTTTACTTTGGACAATCGTTTTGTTATTTAGAAACTGCTCGGCTGAATGAAAAAGTCATCAGTGTGACATTATTTATGCTTATTACTACACAGTCTTGAGGTGACCTATGCCAAAAGCCAGAAAGTAAAAGATGGAGAACAGATTGATTTTCTCAGGTTTTTAAATATAAAGAAAAGAGTGAGGATGTAGCTTTTGGTGAAACATTTGGCAGTTCTCATTAGAGTTATTTATAATTCATTTACAATATCAAATGATGTAGACTAGCGCCTGGACGGCATCATTTGGATTTACCATGGCTTTTGGCGCTCTATTCTCGAAAACATGGAGGATTCATCGCATTTTTATGAACAAACTTAAGAAAACGGTGAGCATTGGGAATCATTCATTTAGATCAATCATTTTCTCCCACACTCACGATTGAGGAAGTGTAAAGCTAGCGAGTAGAGGGGTTGTTATAGAATGCTTTGAGCCTCTTCCGGGCAAGAAAATTCATGATAATGCGTAATGATGAGGACGATTAAAATCATGCATCCTTCTGAATTCTAGCAAGGCACTAAAAACTCCTGTCCTTGACCCTGTATTTCTGATGACCAATTTGGTAGTGTTTGGCACTACTCCAATACGTGACGTAAAAACACCGATCCCGTCAGCAGCCTGAAGATCAGTAAGAACACAAATTTTCAAAAAACCGCTTTTTTTAACGATATTTCTCGTTTGTTGTATCTTTTTGCCATAGGTTATTCAAGATTACCAGCTGATTATTGTAGTAATTCTTCTCCTGATGATCGATGCATGTATCCTTTCCACCTGGCAAATATTGGATCCCATGCATACGACATCTAAGACCTTCCCAAGGATGGTAGGCCCCGTCTATTCCTTTCCATACATTATAGGATTTTTTCATTTTGATGAGATACCTTTTAACTTCCCAAACACGAGTTTAAGCAAAATTGAAAGATCTGAGTATTTCATAAATTGTAGAGCATTGGCCATGAGCCCAAGACGAAGGGGTATTGCCCGAATATTTAAAATCTGACATGTTTTAAGATGACTTTCGTACGTGTTCCATAAAAAAATTTTTTTAACAGATATACAATCTACTGCATCTGCTTTGTTCTTCTTGTCGATGTGAAGCACCGGCAATAAACGAGGCGAATATAAGCTGAATTATTAAATATTTCAGATTGACCAAGACGCCGACATTGCCCTCTACCCATACCAGACCCTCTGCACTTCAAAATATGAAAGCCTGTGGACAGGCTTGCTGTATGGTTACAAAGGCTTTCTTCTCCTATTTTGCACATACTTGGCATGGGAAACTCGAAAAGTCCACATACCAGCGCTGAATGACTCCAAACAAATCGGCTTTGCTGTGTACAATGTGTTCATTCCTTGTGTCATTATCATTCCGATACTCAACCTACTAAGCAACCGCAGTGATGCAGTGTACTTGTTGAGCACTTTACTGTGCATATTCTGTACCACGATCACACAGTGCCTGATCTTCGTTCCAAAGGTAAGGGATTCCCACGCCTTGCTATCGACGGGGGAAGGTGAATCCTACAGTTGCAAACAAATTTAAAATTACACTGAATTCTTACCATGACGGCGTTGGATAAACTTTACTCCAAGTGAGTGGTACCTTCAAGTAGACCGTCCTCAACTTCAGGGGGCCATATGCTTCCGTCTTACGACCAGCTGGGAACATGAAAGGTTTTTTGCCTTACAGAGGGGTCCTGAGTACCTCAGCCTCCGCGATTATTTGAACCCAACCCTGGGGCGAGTGATTTTTACTTTTAACTAGGTCTACATTCATCAAAATTATTTCAATGTCGCTTTCTGTGAGTGTTGAGGATAACATAGTAACACTCGCTCTGACGCTCGAAACGTCAGCTTTTTATTGGTTACGGTGGCCAATTTACAATTTCAACTTAGTTGATATAACCAAATTACCTCGTTACCCTCATCGACGCAGCACCGCAGTTTCTTTAGAGACTTTCAGCCTTTAGTAAAACAATACTATGCGTTCAGTGCCGTACGACTGGAATATATTTTTAAGTCTCAGAAACCTGAAAACAGTGATAGAGGCATATCCAGGGTGTTCTTTTCTTTTTTCTTTCGTTATACTTTACTCCCACGGCATGATGAGAACTTTTAACCATCACAGTTGCGCAGCAACTTTTATTTCAAGCAAACTTAGTTTCCCACGAGAAGCTGAGCACACTCCTAAGGTTTCAAAGAAATTTTTTCTGACAAGTTAAAATAAATCAGAACTTCGAATTGCCTTATGGTGAACGATTAGAAGTAGAAATATGCTCGGGTTAATTACAATAACGTATTCGTTTATTTGACAGATTTCTACGATGAAACGCACAAATGGTGACCCCTCCAATTCCAAGAATGGCTCATTCTCTACTGGCAGCTCTGTTAGCAGCAAAATTTATCCATCACTTAAAGCAAACAGCCTTAATAATAATGCAGAGAAATAAACCCTTTCCCCACATGCTGGTTAAACATATCTTTAAATTTTGGTGAGGATTTTGTATGAATCTTAAAGCTCTATAGCTCAATAAAAAGCTTTTTTGCGTCATTAAAGTAGTTTGTAAAGCTATAAATCATCGAACTGTATAGAGTGTGGAGAATTTTTCTAAACTAAGGCATGGCTGCACTTCAAAGCGGATCACATGCATGCAGGTTAGAATGGATGAGATACATGTATGGCTCTATGCATTTTGGCTGTGTTTTCTTCCTTTTTGCAAGGTTTCATTGCAAAAGAAGACAAACTCTCTTTATAATTTATGAAAAGAAAAGAAAACCCAAACAAACGTTAGTTAACGACGAAAAATCTCCTTTGTTTGTTGGTTGTTGTTTGTTTTTGTTTTGTTGTTGTTGTTTCATTAGAATTTGGTAATTTCATCAGTAATAAAGCCTCGACATGGTAGACCCAAGATTGGGTAATTTCGAGCTGGCGCAAAAACAACGGATACTTTGAAACACTTTGGAGGTGAAAATATTCTTGGGAGTAGGTACAAACGTGCAACTGATAGGTCACTCATTTGAAATTAATATATATAGTTTGTTGATATCTCAACTTAAAAAGGAAGAATAGTCGCTTAACAAAAAATTATGCGGTCTTTCACACTTTTTTCATTTTCAGGAACCAAGTCACCGTGGAGGTACTTGCTCTGTCTTCTCGAGAATACCATTTCAGCAATAGTAATAAACAATACAACCTATTTCCTATGTATACCTGAAAGTAAATAAAATAAATGGAAGAAAAGAACATCTCAGAAAACGTTTTTTACGGTAATGAAGACACGACAAAAGACCCTAGTAAAAAATTGAAGTTTTCTGCTTAAGTTTGCCGAATAATGGTGGTTTCAGTAGATAGGGGATGCCATCGCTTTTTCTTGTCAACTATTCTTGGGCAAGTAGACACCAAGCTATACGTTAAAAGTGTTTTTTCTTTTCGAGGTGTTTGAACGTTTGTTATATTATTTACAATGTCGTTAGCGGATCGTCAAACTATAATCTTTGCAATGCCTAACAAATTACACGACAACTCACAAATATTAATAGTTATTACAATTGTGTCTTTCTTCGGCCGATTTGTGACTGTAGTGGGTTACTTTGTGAACCGCCTGGACATGCAATGAAATAGAGACCGCCATACCTTTCGAAGAGGAACGAGGCCGGAAAACAAAACAAGGTGTACCCGTAGATCAATTTAACTGTAGCAGAACTGAACAAATGTTTCTCCAAATCAGGGCTACTTTCAAGTTCATGCAGTTTTGACAAGCATTATACAAAACTTTTTCTCTTCGAGAATCGCAATCAAATTGTGAATATAAATCTCGGTGATCACTTACAGCGCTATGGGAACTAGTAAGCTTAATCTACAAGACGTTCTATATCGATTGAAACGTTTCAATGAAAATTTTCGTCGAAATTAAACCAAAATTAAATTGTGTTTTAGAAATGCTTATTTCTGTTGGGGTTATTCTAGTGTCGAAGAATGTACTGATGTCACGAACGCTCCATTAGACGGGAACCGCGATGTGATACTGAATTTTTACATGACATACGATTTCAAAAGATTGACTTTTGCTAAGAATTTATTTGGATCCAACCTATTCAAGTTATTCAACCATTTTATTTTAGGGAATGGATTTCATGGAGGTGTCCAAAGTTTCATTTTACGAAACCCGCCATGTAGGTATCATATTGAAAAGTTCGCACCACGCGGATATTCCTACAGATAGTCTTAGAGGAACAGTTCCTACACTTCGTCCAAGGCGCGAACTATCTAGAATTAACTATAGAAAGTTCTTGCAATCCTTGAGCAAAGGAACGATGTGACCTTAGCAGTAGACACATGTACGATTGCGCACCTATTATTCGAGACTGCTGCCATTTTTACTACTGTGCTGTTGCAATGAACTTACGGACCTGTTTGTGAAGTAAGTGGTCAGTCAGCTCTATTACGACAACATAAGTGTTGATGAGCGTTCCTTGATGAAAGCAAACGCTTCCCATATTACATTGGCTGCTTTTGATCATTATTAGAGCAATACATAAAGATATCTTGTTTTATACTCGCAGAAGGATTTTGCCAATTTCTATTTGTAATTGCCTTCCATGGTCAGTTTCAAATCATGCAAAGGGAGATCAAACGAAGAGTAATGGTTTAACAAGTCTTGTATATCGGGAAATCTTGGGGTTCCGCGTTCTCCGAGAGAATACCCTTGTTCCTGTAAAAGAAAATATAAAAGAAACAGATCAAAAGCTTGTTACACAGCAACTTACCAAGACAATAACCATCATAGGCTTCCTTACCTCGTCATGAAGTATCCGATAGTGCATTACTTTACCACTAGTACCAACCGATAAAACCTACACAATAGCAAGACGAAAATGTAGTGAGAGATCTTTATTTGAACCATCAATCAAGTGGATTTATCACTCGGTTATTATGGATATAATAGTATAATGATATATCTTTTACAATCAAAAGAGCATTCCCATCGGCTATATGTTGATCGAAGGAAAGGCGGAAGCTGGCGAGTAAAAACTGGTTTTTCTTCATTGTGGTTCTTTTTGCTCGCAGTCCGTGAGAGGGTTTCTCGTAAGCCAGTTTTATCAAGAACGCGTAAAAGGACGTACTTCTTACCATTGTTGACTGTATAGTTTTACTTTTGCGCAAAATATAAACTCCGGGCCTTTTCTTCAGCAACCTAAAATGAGAAAAAAAAAAAAGGAATACTTCCTCGATCATATATATCAGGACAAGCGCGGATAGCATTTTAAAGCCAAGGCGATTAACAAAATTATCGTAGTTGCTTACATCTCAGCTTGGGAGCTGTCCATGTCATGTATCAAAGTCAGTGAAGAATTATCCTCCTAGGAGAAAGCATTTTGGTTATCAATTTTGTGCGCACGTATACTCGATGTCTTACATCAGTAATTATAACTCTCAAAGTGCCCAAAGTTATTCCAAAGTCGAAAATGAAAACAGATTTTATTCATTCGGCAGTTTATATCAGAATGTAATTTATCAGTAAATGAGGATTTCCAGATAGCAAGTACTCTTCAAATTAAAATGCGAAAATAGTATATAATTGTATGATTTGCTTTTGACTCATCGTATCGAATGTCTTTGTATTCCGGGAAATCCGACTAAATGCCTCCTTAGCTCACCTCTCTTTCCCTATTCCTGACACTTCGTCCATCCGGGGTACCTCTGTGAGGATAAACAGGTTAGCTATACCAAGGCCACATCAGGGACCATTTTTTTCATGCATGTAAATGAAAATCATGTGGCTATCAGAGCAAATATGACAGGCTTATAGAATCTGTGGAATGTCTATATTAAGTATCGAGGTATTAAATGCTTTAGATCTCTTTTTAACGTCAATGTAATGCCATAAGAACACAAGCATGTGTGATAAGAGCGAACAATTCAATGAAGCTTTTAATCTAATTTGTAAAGATTTGAAAATGTTTTTGCCATAATATTGCCATTTATTTAATGCGTACCTTCCAAGTGCTTTAAATTTCGTTGGAGTGGAGCCACTTGCGGTCATCGGTGGTCTGGACGAACATGGCAATTCTACAAAAGTGCAATACCGTAATCTGATCACTCGAAATAGAATTATAACATAACCAAAGTAAAGCGCGCGCTCTGATTGGTCAATTTAGCGTTCCCCATTTGCCCATGGGTGTACGCTGCTGACGTGAGCAAATGCAAAGACTATTTTTCCGCGCGCGCTTGTTTTTTCTGGTCGCGTAAGATTTGTTAAATAAACGGGAACTCTTTAGCTACAATGTATCAATGTTATGTTATAAAACAAATGGTAAACACCACAGCGTACACTATTGAGTTATGGATGCACTTGGGAGGTTTGCTAAGCACTCAAGAAGCTAGAGTCGCTCTCGGCTGTCGCCTCGAGCGACTCTTACGCTTCTTTCGTGCTTAGCAACCTCCCGCGTGCATCCATAACTCAATAGTGTACGCTGTGGTGTTTACCATTTGTTAACTGTTAGTAAGGTTGACAGTACACTTCCGTGATCGTCAGTTATGCTACTCGAGCATAGAAGTTTATGACAAATCTGAAAAAAGCTTTCCTTGTGACATGAATCATATCTTATGATGCAATGAATTCAAGCATGATATTTACCTAGTTTTTTTTTATCAAACACTAAGACTGTCCCAATTTTTATGCGACAACAGTGCGCCTCACATAATCACGGCTTAGTAAACTTAAAACATATACAGGTGAAGATTACCTCCTTTATCTGAAGGGAAGTTTCTTCCTGGCACTGATTTCCCATACATTACTGTGCAAAAGTAATGTAGAACGAGACATAAAATAAACAATGTATCGCCAATATATCCGCGGTATATCAGGTGTAAAAGCGCGACATTCGACGATAATCGTTTGCGCTACTTTCGCACAGTACTGTAGTACATTAAAATGCCCGAAGGGAGTTGATTGGTATGTGAGGAGTGGGTTTACTTGGCAGTGTCGTTCTTGACCTTTCAGAAATCTGTGTGAATTCAACAAGAGGGCGAGACTGACCTGGTGGACCTTGGGCCTCCACCTCTAAGAGTGACCTTTCAAAGAATTGCACCGGCTCATTTTTCTTTTGTGCGTGAGGTCGTTTGGGTAACGGCATCGTTCTTGGTTCCTGATTTCCAAACCAAGGTGGTACGTTTGACTGCGTTGATCTATTTTCCTGTGATGGTCTCAAAAGAGGACACTGTTTCCTTGCTGCTTGGGTTCCTAAATGAGATGGCATGCTGTGCACTTTACTTGTCCCGCTAGAGATTGAAGCCTGTCCTACAAGGACATCCGAAGGATCATTACGCGATGGCTTTAAATTGTGAGGAAATGTTGCTGCATTAGGTTTGCGCCTTGGAATTGACAGTGAGCATGATGGATTAGTTTGGTCAGTGTTGATGGTGTAGTGCTCCTCTGCTGGATCTACCCTAGAATGATCATAGAATGACAGTATGCGCTGTGTTTTTCCAGTTAAACATCAACTTACATCAGTGTGCCCTCGATCATAACCCATGTAACCTAATGCGTAAGATGAATGCACTAGAGGAGTTTTCTATGTGATTTTTCCTTTGTTCTTTGAAACAGTTTCAATAATTATACAGATTCAAAAGGTAAGATAAAGTCTTTCCTCCAACTAGTGGGTCCACGTAGCCGGAATATATCCCGGAAGCGGCTAGGAGTACTGCCACTCCCCTTGGGTGAGATGCTCTTTATCACAGACTACCCGCTCTCCGCTCCTTACCCTCCCCCCACGACCCCACACCTCTAGCATTCATTTAGCTCCCCTGACAGTTTGCCGGGACGCATTTCTACTCCTGGGTGGGAGGAGTTATTGTGGGTGCAAAGTTTCTTTCCCCAGATCAGTGACTTGGAGGCCAGCGTGTTCATCGTATGGCCACGTTCCCTCCTACCAAGATAGCCCAGCCAAAAATCGAAGCTCTTATGTTTCTTTTTTCTCAAGTCCGTGCTTCGACCAAAACGAACATTTTACTGAATTAGAATCCTATTGATCATTTTTCCGCTGAATACCTTCCTAATTGAAGTAACATGATAAAACTACGCTTACTATCGACTTACTCTGAGACAGGGCGGCAATAATTTTTCTTGTCCTTCATTATCGCTTCGCGCCAACGCTGAATATAGAAAAGAATATATAATATAGAACGCTTATATATTTTTCTTTAAAAAATTAAAAGCTCAAGATATGCAAAGGAGGAAACTGAATGTTATTGAACTTTATTTTTCAAAGTTAGGTGTTCAGTTAGAAAACAGGTCGATGAGGCACTAAGTGCAGAAACAAGGGAGATCAAGAAAGCGGGTCGCGTAAAGAAATTTCTTTACGAGCCCAGGTCCAAATTCCAAGCATAGAGGAGATAATGTATCGACGCCGAGAAATTATCATTTGTTTCCCGAAAGTCGTGTAAGTCATTTGCTCACTTTATAACGTTAACCTTCCAACAATCACGTTTTAATTGACCATTCGTGTTCTCCTTAAATAATGACTCGGTTTACCAAAGAATACTGCTGTGCTCCGCCCTATTTAAACAATAGAGTGTTTCTATCGAGGAACTATCAGCTGATAGTGCGAAAATTTGATTTTCTTAAAACAAATGTGCTGGTTTTCAGAGCATCAAATTTCCAAGGGGCAACTATCAGACCGATAGTTCCGAGACATAAACAGTCTATTGTCTTTATTGTTCACCACTAAATTTTCTTCCGCGCGCCAGTTGAAAAACAGTCAAAACCCACTAAATGCAGATCAATAAAATATTTTTTCGTGCGTACAGCCTATCACAATTGTCAACAATTCGCAACCGTACATTGGCTAAATAATACGTTATACCTGTCAGAGTTGAAAAGACACTGTTTTTCCGATCTGCCTAACTTCCCGGCCGTCGAACCATTCAAAATTTTTCACGGATGAGTACCATCCATCCGAGTATTTTTCCGCGGACGGGCACTATCCATCCGGGTATTTTCCGCGGACGGGCACTATCCATCCGGGTATTTTCCGCAGACGGGCACTATCCATCCGGGTATTTACCGCGGACGGGCACTATCCATCCGGGTATTTTCCGCGGACGGGCACTATCCATCCGGGTATTTTCCGCGGGCGGGCACTATCTATCCGAGTATTTTTCCGCGGACGGGCACTATGGGCTGGTAGTGTCTCTCGACAGATGAACACTATTGCGTCACGTGATCAATTTAAACCAATAAGAATCGGAGAAAATTTAGTGGGGAACTATAATACTACATAGTACGACATAATTTTCCTGTAGCACACGCTTGCAAGTGAAAGTAACATTGACTTACATTAAGATCGAACTCTGAATCCACAGCAAAGAAGAGTGTTTTCATCAGATATGACTCATTGATCAGTTTAAAGGCCCAAGTATATTTCTTAACCTCCGGTGCATCACATGCCCTGCATGAAACAAATAAAAATAAGTCGTGTTCGATCAAACCCATTTACACAAAAATCTTCATTTTTCATCAGGTCAGACGATACCTTTGATGAAAAAAACAAACAAACAAACAAACAAAAAACAGAAGAGAATATGGAAAAATATGACATGCGTTTTGGAACGAGCAGGAAACGAGTATTCCGCCACCGTACTTACTTCATTGATCGTTCCATATCACATTCGTGGGAGACTTCAAACAACTCTTATCACTTTGGTGCCCTGCGTCATATGCAGCATTCAATACTCTTTAAAATACATACAATACCTGTAATTTGTCAACGGGATCACCTCGGTGTAGTTCTCGTCATCAGAATGCTGGTACAGATAAAGGCATCCAGAATGTAAGATCATATAATACCATGGCCCTGACAGGAGAAAAATTCCTTCACACTTTTCACCTCGTGCAAGTTCAGTTTAAAGTGGATGTGATTAATATGGGTTATCAAGCGACTGTAAAGTGTAGATGAATGGAAGCTTACTGAAGCATTCGAAATCTAGAAGGACCCAAAATTATACATGGTCAGCATGCAGCCTCCTTCAACAAATCTACTTAGCCAAATGATTTCTCTTTTTGCTTACGTAATGATAGGCCTAAAATGCAGGGTAGATATTCCTCACTAGATCTGGAAATTTACATGGAAATTTACATTAACTTTCCTCTAGCCCGCTTTGAGTAAAAAATACTTACAGCCGAGGACTTTTACCAGCGATCGCAAGCCTGAGGTGGTTTCTTTCATGACCCAGCCGAAGCAGTTGGCACCAGTGCCGAGCAATTCCTGAGCCGTAATGTTAGCATATGGTTCAACAGCTCTTGCCATCGACAACGATGACTTTCTGTAGCCAACAGTATAAAAGTGGGGAGATGAATCCTTGATAAGACCGGTACTATAGGAAACACCAAGATGGCAAGAATCAACTGGAAATAAACGAAGATGTTTCAAAATGAAGAAGACTAAGAATTGTACACAATTAATTGAAATTTCTGGCTATTACTCTTTGCAAATCGTTTCCTAGATCATATGGTTATCTATTGAACTTGGGAGTATCCCACATAATTAGATTTGCTCTGAAGAAAGGTGAAGGCTCGAAAAGTCACCTTTGGAATCTCTTTATGATGGCTAAATAGAGCTCTTCAAGCAGCTCAGTGTTTTATCGGCTGATAATGTCCGCGGCTGAGTTGTTGTCCGAGAAATTAATACAAAACAAGCTGGTTTTCCCTTCATTTAAAGTAACAAAGATGAAAAAGTGAAACTGTTGAGCTGGCATTTTCCGCTGGCTTTGTTTCTTTTTCGATGGAAACAATCGGAGGACAAATAACGACATAACCAAGGGGGCTATTGTGATTACTGTCCTGTCATTTTTTTTCTCATGACGTTAAATAGCCAATAGAATCGCGCGGAAATGAATGGGTGGGTTATAATTTACGTTATGAAATCCGTAATATCTCGTAATATCTTCAACCGACCCAAGACAACAGTTTCTTTAGAGACCCGCTCTCAGTTTCCCATCAGGTTTGTTTACAAACAAGTTTTGTAAAATGTACAATTAACAGGAAGTCGACTGACCCAACAGCGCCAGCGCTAAGGTAATTAGAAATTCACAGCAGTCTCGAGTTTATTTTCGATATCACTTTTTAGCATATGAAAACAAAGGTCGTAAAGAGTCTTCTTGAAGCTCCAAAATGGCAAATAACCCTTCTTCTATTATCAGGAAAGGGCGATGAAAAGGACACTCGATGAAAAAGGCAGTCATGATGACAATCGGATTGTTAAGAGTATTACGAATTTTGGAATAACATTTGATATCTTTTTGAAAGAAACCAAAACAGAAGATTACAAGTCATGCAAACCAGGCCTGAGATCATATTTATATTTGTTTCAGTGAAAGTTGTTCTAAATGAAAGTATTGACTAAAAACCCCGTGATGACACTAGCCAGTAATGGTGAGGTAAAAACATCATTCGTCTCCCAGAATTAAGTTTTATCCCCATCAAAGGATTGTTACAAAGTGTGCCGAGTCGTGACGTCTGTTGTTCTTATGTAACTCGTAACGCCGAAGAAATGTCTACATGGTCATTCTACTAACTAGAAACTACTTCATTAGCTGAGTCTTTCGATTCGATTCATCGGCCACAGCTCAATGTTTGGAGAACCATGTATATCAGATCTTGTATCTAATATTTAAATAGAAAGTTAGAGTCGGTTATTGAAAATATATTTTTTATTGCCAAGGAAAGTCTAAAGTGTTACCCTTTGTTAATACATCGGCAGAAATTAACGTAAAATGGACAGAGAGAGACATTCAATCCAAAAAAATGGTGGGGCAACAACTGGTAGAGTTTCCGGGGAACAAACAAGAACCGGAATTGTTATTCATAAATAAGGTAATGCACAAAAAAAAAAAAAAACCGAGATGTAACTGATGGTGAAATTTAAAAAGAAGCGATTTAAAGACGGAAAGGAAATCAAATATACTATCGATAATGCTCCGCGTTGGGATTTTCTTATTTTCCGTCTTAGTACGGAATTTCTATTTTCCATACGCTTGGCACTAGTTAAGGAGCCTGTAAAGTTTTGTTCCTTACGACGTATACGTAAATGTACTCACCGCTGATGATTAGTATCCCTTGATCAATTGAGTCTAATTATATTGATGTTCGAATAATATTCAATACCGAAAGGACAATTCAGTTTCGTAATCCAAACAGCCAGATGTTATCAATGAATTTTAGGTACTTTAAGTAAATTAAATAGTTCCCACTTTAAGCATAAATTTTCCAGTTTACTTAATGCGATTCATTGGTTCATTACTCACCAACAGTGAAATTCCAATTCAGCACTCAGCTGGGATCCATGTTGTTTACTTCAAATAGAAGACAATATATATATTTTTCGCTTTCCCGAGACAAGTAGGAAGGAGGGGCACTGGTAACGAGTAAAGTTCAAGGCGGATATGCTACGCTGGAGGTCACAAACAGTGCTCTTTAAATATCACTATGGTGACAAGAGAGGGACCTTCATTAACATTGCATCCCTTTCAACTCGTGGTCGTAAAGCTCTACACTGTTTTGTAAGAACTCGTCATTACAAAGAAAGTAAGTAAGAATCGTTTTTTTGTGAGGAAGAGGAGGAACCCATCCAACTTTTTCAATCCAACCTTCTATTAATCTCTTAAAAGATACCCGAGAGCTGTTTCGTATGATCCTTGAAAGAAAGAGGTCTTCTTCTTCTCAAATTTTTGTGAGTATTCAATTCAGTGCCGACTTTCAATCATCCAAACGAGTAACACGAGCTACAGATTATTGCTAACAAACTGGCAATTTTGCGCCGCTCGAAAAACAACCAATCAAAACAGAAAGGAAAATGGAAGCAAACGGTATCAAAAATAAGGGAAAATTCATTATTTGAAAGTTTCATCCAGTCTGTTATCGTTCATTAAGTGTAAAAGTTTGTTTTCCGGAGTCATTGTGCTTCAGACGCTTTGTTGAGAATATATAATGCACATAATAGCTACGTGGCCGAAATGAAGTGAAGAAGAGCTTTTTTTTATCACAGGTAGTTGTTGTACAATCGACCTAAGACCAAAACATTTAGGAGAATTGTGTGATGAAGAAAAATGACGCACGAAAAAATTGCCTGTATACCTCGTTTACGCTGCACTTTATTCTGATGTGCGCAGCTTTAAATATATAATTTTGAGAATTCAGTGCCGTAGAATCAAGTGTAAACTCGACTCACATCTGTCGCCAGGTTCAAGGAATAGAACTCGAACAACAGCAGTGGAAGGCGAGTACTTCTAACACTGCCCTCATAAAATAAATTTCCTTCGGTAACCAGAGTACCCTGGCTAAAGGGTTCCTCAACGAACGAACTACTTAATTAGCAACTGCAAACTTGATAATGGCAATATCTTGAGATGAATCAATGATGCTGTACAGAAATACCATATTTCAAAAATATCTAAACCCTCCCGCGTGTTAGGTCTCTACATTCTATATTTTAAACTACTCAATTGATCGTCCACTCCAAAATGGGGAATTCTGTTAAAAACAGAGGAGTAGGTCCCTAATCATCAAAGACTTGGACAAGGAAGTGAGTTACAACTAGAAAGTCAATATCTCGATTACAGCACCACTCCCTCAGTTCTGCTTTGTATAAGGGAAGTGCACCAAAACAAAAATTTTCATTGCCTGCTATTCTAACAAGCACTCGATATACTTGAAAGTTTCTTTCTCGTTGAAAAGAATCCTCTCCAGTCATGTGGTCTGCATTGATCATGATCGGTAAGGCCTTGTGAGTTTCACGTCACACTTTGGCAGATTAAAGTCGTAGTAGTGTCTTATCATTTCCTCTAGTTTATCAAATCTTGGCCCATCAGGTTGAAGAGCGTATCCTTGACTCTGTGGATGAGGAGCAGGGACAAGTTCAATGATTTTGTGTAAAGAAGAAAAAGAACCAAATCCTAAAATCTGTCCTAAGTTTTTCTCTCGTACCTGTTCAAGGAATATGACATAATGACGGACTCGGTCACCAGTCCACACTGACAACGCCTGCAACAGAACAAATAACTTCATGTGAGAAACGTTTCTTGAAAGAGACCGCACCCTGTTGCGTTTTGAACTTTCTTTTCTCAGCTTAATGCGTCGTGTTTTCTAAACCGGATCTTTCCATGCACAATTTGGCAATGTGGCCGGCTGACCTGTATGGGAATCTGAGAGGCTTTTAACAGCTGCATGTGGTAAGGATTTTTTTTTAAAAGAAGGTAGTGGTATGCGTGATTGGTTTTGGAACGGTGGTAATCTAAGGGATCCAGGTTTTATCCTCAGCCTGATTGTCTCTCTGCTTTTCCGAATTCAGTTTCTCCAATGTGACTTTCAGAAAACTAGAAAACTTCTGTCAACTTGTTTTTTAAATATAGCATATGTAACTACGTTTCTAACGGTTTGTCAACGTTGAGTATGAATCCATTAGTCTACTGAGAATGGTAGCCACTGGAATACGTCAGCGTTAGTATCAACAGGCGGTGTGTGCAAAGGGCAGGGACGTAATCCACGCCACGAGAGTCCATAAGTTACAAAACGTCGCCTCAAATTGAACCTAACTATTCTGAAAACTGGTCTATATTATCAAATTAGGCAATGTTTGGAGTTGCTTTTCGTTGTCTCACATCATGCACACCCAGCCAAAGACGTTTTTTAAGGTTAAAGAGAGCATAAAGAAATATTAAAGAATAAGGTGTGCTCTTACCATCTTTGACTGTGCAGTTTGGCTATTACGCAGGATATAAACACCAAGTTTGTTCTCAAGGAGGCTATGACAAGAACAAGTACAAAAAATGAAAAGAAGCTACATGTAAGTGAATTCACATCATTATCGGAAGCATTTTTTACAAATTTGAACGTCAACATGAAAAAAAAAGAGAAGCGAGTTTTACTCACGAAGTAACCTCCGTCTTGTCTATGTCAAGTAGCAGTGCTGAATTTGGAAGGACTCCCTACAAAAGAAGAAAGAAAACTTTAGGCACCAGAAAGTCGTCAGGAAATGAAATATATCCTTAAAACGAAGCAACGGAGCAGGAATCTACTGCATACACGCTGGAAAAGACTTTTTGCTGCAGTGAGGTTTCAGAGCCCTAAGGGATGTGGTTAACAGAAGGAATACCTTCCACCGGATACCCTCCCCCGGCCGAATGGGCCATCCAATTTCAATACTAAGGCGTTTCTTCAGAATTCACTAAAGCTAAGATTTTAACCAAATCTCTCAAATGTTAAACTAGACACAGTAAAAAGAACTAACGAATTGAAGTCCGCAAGTTTGGAGGCTCTTAATACAACAGCGAAGGCTAATCTACTGTTCAAATGTCTTTTTGAACGAGACAAAAAGCTGCAGGTGTCGATATCTTGGTTTCTTATTGTAAGATGTACCCGGCTGTTTAACGATTGGTTCATGCTTTAGCGTGCACTATCGAGTTATGGAGCACACGGGAAGTTTGGAGAGCACGAAAGAAGCATAAGAGTTGCCCGAAGCGATAGCCGAGGACAACTCTAGCTTCTTGAGTGCTCTCCAAACTTCCCGCGTGCTCCACAACTCGATAGTGCACAGCTGAAAGCATGAACCAATTGTTTTAGAACATAGCCGGTGGAACTGTGCATCAAATCCGACGCGAAAAACGGACAACAATATCAGTTGAAGCAAATCGTGACGGCGCTGATGCCGAGTCTCCTTTTCCTCTGTTTTTCTCTTTTTCTGTCTCATTTAAGAACTCTAGCCCAAGAGAAAAGGTCGAAACATGGTCTTCGTTTTCGGACTAGTAGGCCGAGTTTCTGTTTGTATCCATTACTGTCGCGAAATATATTATTTTTCTCCGCGCTAACAATGGCCGCTCGCGCGAAAAAAAAAATTTCTGGCGAAGCGATTTGCTGACGCTGTCAGCGTGCACTATCGGGATTTTGAGCACGCTTACGTCTATTGAATTTGATTGCGTGGTTCTGCTAGTTGTGTTCTAAAATAAACTTAGTCCGTACCCGATCGAAGTTACCATAGATGAGGCGAACTGTTAGATTAACAAAACAGTTGAACAAGAAATAAATGAATAAAATATGGAGAATTTCATTTTTCAACAATGATGGTAAGTGAGAACCCAGTGAGACGACCACCTGGTTAAACTATACTGAAGAAATTTTGTTCTAACGCGTTGTTTGTGATACAAATCAAGTCCAACTATACAATGATATTAATCCTTTGAACGTAAAGCTATTAAAAAGTAGAGTTTGATTCATATCATTAGGGAGCACAGAGTATAGCTTTGAAGTAATTATGGAAAAATGAAAGTGCATTAAAGTAGAAACCAAAGTATTACCACATTAAATACGAGCCCATGTACATTTTCATTTCTTATCTCTACGAGTATGCACTTCCTTTTGACCTCTCGGTCAAACAGTTCGTTCAGAGAGCGTGTCAAAACCCAAGCCTATAACAAAAATGCAAAATAACATTTTAAAAACTCACCTCCTTGTGTTTTACTTTAAAGCTCTGTCCATCAGGGGCACCTCTGTTATAGACAAAGAAACTGTCAATGTGTATATTTTCCACAAGAAAGTTTACTCAGGACATCTATTCTACTTTGTACATGTGCTTACCTCCCAAGCTTTGCTGGTTTGCGAAGAGCTGCGGAGCCACCTTTGGATGGCGGAGTGGGCATGGGACCTGCAATGCATAATTACTAGAGATAGTGAAAACCCGCTCTTTCCTGAACTATCTGTCACTATATTAGCTTAGAGGGCCTGGGAAATATTTCTTAAGTATTTTTGGCGCTGCATACACAGCAACGACATACACTTCAGTTTATTTGGGTGCATATTACAGACAAAGACTGTGTTCAGTTCTATGGCCCTGGGACACTAAAAAACATTCACAATAACACTGAACAATACTTGGGCCAAAAGGATCAAAGAAAAACACACGCTTAGAGATTAAAGAAAAAAAAAATCAAAGAAGGTTACGAAATCTAGCTCAATAAGAATAATATCCCTAGGAAACAAGAAGATAGCACGAGATGGGCGATGTGAATGACTGGCTTGGAAAGCATAAGCTTATCTGTATATACAAAAGAAGTGAGGCAGCCCCTTTTTGTCTTTGATCTCTAATAAACCGTACCAATGCTTGTAATCTCGTAGTTACGTGATGCTCGAGTTAAGAGGCTGCTATCGAGTTTTCAATCTGCCTTATTCTTTCAACGCAAGATGAATATGTTACCTCTTTTATCTGAAGGATTTACTTTGGCTTTTTGAAGTTGATTAATTACGTCTTCATATCCCTGAGCCGTGAGACCCGATGAATCTGACGAACGTCCTGGAAATTTCCCCATTATTGCTGGGCTTGATTGTCTAGGCGTTAAAGGTGGGCGAGGCAGTGTTGCGGGCTTCGGATCAATGGGTCTTCTTCCAAGTTGTGGTTTCTCCTGTCCTGGAGGGGGAGGCAATGGCTTTTGCGAATAATTAGGAACGGAAGGCAACGGCTTTTGCGGCAAATCAGGAGGGAGAAATGTACAAGAACTACGACGCCTGGTGTCTGGTAGAGGTGCAGGTGGTCGTTCCCTTATTTGGAATGTTTGGGCACGACTCGGCGGTTTGGATGTTTCGTCATCGTCTATCGAACTGTATCCATCAGCGTCATCCGCACTGTAAAAGCAATATACAGTTCAACTGCATCACAGCTTTACCAACTGTTGTTGTCTCTTTCAGTTAACGTACAGCTGACTTATCAAGCAACATTTGAGGCGGCTGATTAAAACACGATGCAGATAATGAAAAAACAAAAACGTATACAAATATATCTGTAGGTTTTTTTAGTTTTAGTTTTTACCTTTTCGAAAAAGTCTCTCTAAAAAAGGCTGAATAGCCGAAACGTCATTAAATCTACAGTTGGACCAGTTAGAAGTTTACCCCATTGTTCTCTATTTGCATTTATCTATAAATTCACTAGGCGTTATATGACCCTTCGGATCCCTCTACGGAGAGGGATCCGAAGGATGATATACCCTGGCAAAAGAAAGGTAATACAACGTTCGACGTAACAATGGGAAGCTACGACGGCGCCGAGACATGTGAACTCGTGGGAAACTTTCTCCTCCCCCAACTCCAGGATCTTAATGTAAACGTAGGACTCTACCGAGACGACGGACTAGCCATTACAAACGCCACACCTAGAGACACAGAGAACATTAAGAAGGAAATATGCCGCATCTTTAATAACAACGGACTACGCATCACCATAGAAGCTAACAAACAAATAATCGACTTCCTAGACGTCACATTTAACCTTAACCGAAGCACTTATCAACCATTCACAAAGCCGAATACTTCACTGCAATATGTTCACCGCGAGAGCAACCATCCGCCAACAACAACAAAAAACATTCCCACCGGTATCAACAAACGACTGTCCTCCCTGTCATCTGACAAAGCATCCTTTGACCAAGCCGC